TTTTTTTTTTAAAGTAAGAAGCAAGCTTTATTTATTTACAAGAAAAAAAGAAAAAAAAGTTGGGGGCAACGGGAATAGTTTTACAGAAAAGTACTATAATGGTAACTCCCTTTGGTAAAGAGTATAATAAATGTACATCTCTTCATAGGTACTAAATCTGAAGCCACATAGTACCATGGTACAGAAGAAGCCAGAGCAGTTTTACTAGCACATTAAAGCATATTTCTTTTAATAAAAAATTGACAGTATGTACATTATTTACAAAAAAAGTGTGTGTGCACATGTGTCAGTGTAAAGCTGGTGGATGGCACTAGGGAAACTAGTAAGGCAGCAGGTACAAAACAGTTCCATGGCTAACTAATGCTCCTCATCTTTGAGGTACAGGAGGGTCTTTCAGGTGGGCAAGGGGGAGACAGGCCATCCTGGCAGTGTGCACAACAGTATAGGAGCCTGCTGAAGACTTCCGGGGATCGACTGTCTCTAGGGATGGTACCATCCAAGGAAGTCTGGAGGACAGGACAGTAATGGGCCCATTCTCTGTCCCTGCTGCAGAGGTGGCTCAGCTTACACAAGCTCCAAAAACAGAGGAAGGAGGCTGGGGAGGACAGCAAACGTAAGCTTTGGATCCCAGGGTTTTCACTCACCTCATTTCAGGCAGCTGCCCTGTCCTGGTGAACTAGAAAAGAACTTTGGACGTTATTTTCAATCTGAGAAAAATCTGTCCTGGAACTGGCAATTACTTGTAATCTTCAATCGCCTTGATTATAGCTCAGGGGACTTTGGTATTTTCCTCCAAGGACACTATTTCAGCAAAAAATTAAAGGAAGTCTCTGGTGTCTGCTTGCCCTTGCTCAGCAGAACTAAATCTTGACTTGAATGGGTAGACTCTAAGGCCCCACTCAAAGCTGACTCGACTCTCCTTTGTAGGGCTGTGGTGTAACAGGTGCTGGCTGCAAGGCAGGCGGGCCTGTGGCAACTGCTGCCTACTCTCAATGATTTCCCACTGTGGCCCTGATCATGTCATCTCACTGCCCTCAGCCTGTTTTCTTGTCCAGAGGAGAAATTTGGAATCCTCGCAGAAGGAAAAGGTCAGGTCAGAGATTCTCCCCTTCCGTACTCCTCCAGCATTCCAGGCATTCCAGGTGGCCAGCTCAGTGACAGCGCTTTTGGTTGCATCTAACAAAAACTGACTTTCATTGACTTAAGCAACCAATTTTTTTTTCTTACATAAATATCCAGAGGTGAGATGGGCTTTGGGGCTGTTTGGTTCATCAGCTCCACGGTATCTTCAAGGTCTTGAACCTTCTTCTCTGATGTCAACCTTCATATTGATTTCATTCTCAGCTTGGTGCCAAGACGGAGGCAGCAGCTCCAAAACTCACACAGAGATATGGCAATTACTGTGACTCCCCTTAAAAAGAAGACACCTTTCCCACAAGTCACTCCATTTCCCGGTCCTGTAATACACTGGCTAGAAA